AAATTCAACATCAAATCCATTCCTTTTTAATCCAAATTTTCCATAATACCCAACAAAAATAACTGTGGCTTAAAGCGTAATTCATAAAATTATGCATTGTGCAGAATTAGATAGGTTAACTAGAAGACTTAAAAATCAGGATGAAATGTTTTTTTATCAAATTTGGAACAAATTTTACAGATGGTGGGGGGGAAAGCAGGGAAGTTATTTGTACTGAGATAATTCAAGATTGTGATTAGAGTGATGTTATTGTATAGGTTTTTCTCATTAGTAATTTATGATAATAATAGTGAAATGAGATATATGTCAAATCTGTGTTACCATGTTCAATGTTTTTAATTTTTTGCTTTTCAATAAAAAAAATTTAAAAAAATAAATAATATTTCTATTTAAAACTTCGAAGATTAAAATAAATAACAATGGATATCCTTGTCTTGTGCCTTTTCTTATATCAAAGTTCTCTGTATAGTCTCCATTTACAATCACTTTTGCTGTTTGTTTGTGATATATTATTGTCTTGATCATATTTATAAAATTTTGTCCAAAGTCCATTGTTTTAGTTGTGTCATAAATTGCCAAGAAACATTATCAAATGCCTTTTGAGCATCTAGAAATACTAATGCCGGTTGCTTCCCTGGATGCATTTCATAATATTCCAATATGTCCATTATAATTCTTAAATTATTTTTTTATTTGTCTCTTTGGTAGAAATCCATTTTGGTCTGGATGTATAAATTCAATCAAAAATCTTTTCAGTCTCTCAGCTATTATTGAAGTAAAGATTTTATAGTCCACATTTAACAATGATATTGATCTACAGTTTTTTATCTGTGTCAGATCTGAGTCCTCTTTTGGTATCAGAGTAATATTTGCTTCTGTCCATGTCTTTGGGAATTTAGCCTCCAATAGAAGTTCATTACAGACCTCTTTCAATGGTAAACTTAGTGTATCTTGTAGACCTTTATAAAACTCTGCTGGGAGCCCATCTGGTCCTAGTGTTTTGTCATTTTTTTGTTTTTTTATAACCTCTATCAATTCCCTCATTGTTATTTTCTCATTTAACATAGTTTTGAAGTTTTCTGGGATTTTTGATAAGTTAGTTTTTTCCATATATTGAATTGTTTTCTCCCATGAAATTTCTCCCATATCATACAGTTTCATAATATTCTTTAATTATCTTTTTTATTGTCTCACTTTTAAATTGTAGACAGCCTTTTTCATCTACTAAATTGTTTATCAGTTTTTTCTCCTTCTTTTTTTTTAAGTTTGTAAGCTAGCCATCTTCCTGGTTTATTTGCATTTTCAAAAAAGTTTTGCTTTGCTCTTTTAATTTGCTGCACCAGTTTTTCTGTTTCTCTTAAATTTAGTTTATGTTTTATTATTTCCATTTGTCTTTTCAATACTTTCTTTTGTGGATTTATTTGTAGTTCTAATTCTAATTTTTTAAATTCTTCCCTTAACGCATTGTTGTCTTTTTTCTTTATTCTTTTTATCCATATATATATTATAGCTACACCTC